CATATATTAATCAATTGTTATTTAGAAAATATGATTTTTGAGTTATGGAATCCTATATTTTGATACCAAACCATTATGATTAATAAAAGGATGATTTCTTGGAATAAAGATGGTATTTTAACAACTAAAAGGGATCTTATGTGATGCATGACGGTAAGCTAGGGTGTTAACACTCGATGCTAGGCCGCTGATTGTTATTAGTTATTATGATGATTGATTGATTGTTCATTTTTATGAATATTATGGATTAATGATGATGAATATTCTGGATGAAATGATTGTTGAACTAAGAGTATGAATTGATGAATAATGTTGTTAAGGATATCTAGAAGAACTTTAAGATATACCTATTAGCTAATTAATGTTAAGACTATCTAGAAGACCTCTAAAATAGATCTTAGAAGAACTTATGAAAACATGAATAGTTGATGAATTAGATGTAAATTCATAAACGGGATTCGTAGACCAAACTAGAGGATTACTCGTTGGGAATGCCCGATCCATTGTTGACCAATCGCTATATTGTTGTTGCCTTAACTGACTACAGTTAAGTATCCGAAATCATTTGCCTTAAACTAATGATAGTTTAAGTGTCTGATTGTCTTAACTGACTACAGTTAAGTGTCCGAAATCAATTGCCTTAAACTAATGATAGTTTAAGTGTCTGATTAATAATTGCCTTTTAAGAATCTGGTTATGGAAATTATGATTTGGCCTTGGACTAAGAATAGCTAAGAGCATTATTATGATCTGGCCTTAGACTAAGAATAGCTAAGAGCGTTGTTATGATCCGGCCTTAGACTAAGAATAGCTAAGAGCGTTGTTATGATCTGGCCTTAGATTAAGAATAATTTAAGAGCACTATTGGATTAATATCTGAATTGAATAAAATGTGTTGATATGAATTGAATAATACCAAAACTGTGAATGTCTGAAATGAACATTGTGTGCATGATATCAAATGATTTGATTATGAATTTAGATTCAGTTTATATGGATGTTCGACGCATTAGATATGCTTACTCAGCTTTACCGCTGAGCGTGTAGTGTGTTTTATTTGCTACACACAGGTAAGCAGAAAGCACAATGTGATCCTGGCGGCAGATGGGGCGAGATTGTCGGGATGGATGTGACAAGTTTTGAAACAATTTATGATATGTCAATATTAAAATCACTTCCGCAATATTGTTGAATACTCCGTACTGTATATGTTATGAAAAATATTATTGGGATTAATCAAGTGTGTTTGAAAAATTTTAAATTTTTACGATTACCAAGTTAAATACTTTAGTCCGAATGGGGCTGCAGACCTGAACGGATTAGGGTGTTACAATTATTTCGTGTTTGTATTATTTTTTATATTTTAAAATTAAATATTTAAAAAATTAAATTTTTTTAACGATATTTTTTTGAATAGGTAATTACTTCCTTTACCTCACTTTCAATTATAAACTTTTAGGGAGTATTTTATTAAACCCTGGAGAGAGTCATAGCCAAAGTAATAATCTATAATAGATGGATGATTTAATAAAATAATTAAATTTATTTTATATTATTGGTTGGAGTTAATTATTTCAAAAATATTTTAAAATTAACTTAAATTATTGGTTAAATTTAATTATTTAAAAATTTGTTTTAGTAAGTTACCAAAGTGACGTATGTATACAGTACACATACTCGAAGTAAGAAAAATATAAAATTAATAAAATATGATGTAATATTGATACGAAGGAATTGATGGAGTAAGAAAAGCACTCTCCCGTCCCAGTTTATTCGTTCCGTTTGACTTTTTAAATTCAAATGTCTAAATGTCTCTTTACCATTCATTTTTATTTAGTTTTTAGTTATTTTTTTTTTAAATTTTTCATACAAATTTTTGTAGTTATAGAGGGGATGAAAATATTTGAGGTACATATTTGATGTAGTCTTAGCATTTTCCATTTTAAAATAATACTGGGAGAAGAGTAGATTGCAATTGTTACATGACCTATTTTTATTATGAAAAAGTAAAGCTAATCCTTAAAAAAGCTTGCGAACGGACACTTTATGGACTAGAGTAGATTACAACGGAGTACTCCGTTTAAATACGAACAATTAGTGGGCGATTAATTATAGTAATCGGGCATCTTAAACACCAGATCATATTTGTTAATTCCATTCATTCTCTTCCATTAATTACTCCCATATATTTCTTGGTTTCTACTTCAAACCTAAACCAAACGCCGATAACCACCTCTCACCAGCAGCTCCACAGGTGGCCATAAATGGCGGACATCAGAAGACCCAATCCCAGAAGCAGCGGCAGAGGGTTTTATTTGAGTTTGAAGATGAGATTAATCAGACCCGCAGAAGGAAGATTGTTCTGCCATAGATGTTTCAAATGGGTCCTCTGGTTCTCCCTCTCTTTCTATTTCTTCGCCTCTTTTCTCTTCTCCCATGAGCCCGCCGCCGCCACCATCTCCACAGCCGCCTCCGTCCACCACCAGTCCGAGGCCTCTCGCGCCTTGATCGATTCCGAGAATACCCGTCGGGGGAAATTGGGGTCCGGCGCGTTTGAGGGCTTGAAGATTTACATATATGATTTGCCGGCGAGGTTCAACATTGATTGGCTGAAGAACGAGCGTTGCGGCCGCCATTTGTTTGCCTCCGAGGTGGCGATACACCGGGCGTTGGAGACCAGCGACGACGTACGGACGTTTGACCCGTGGGAGGCGGACTTTTTCTTCGTTCCCGTCTATGTTTCTTGCAATTTCAGCTCCGTCAATGGGTTCCCGGCGATTGGACACGCCCGCTCTCTGATGTCCGCCGCCGTGAGCCTGGTTTCGTCGGAGCATCCATTCTGGAACCGCAGCGGCGGTGCCGACCACGTCTTCGTAGCTTCTCACGACTTCGGCTCCTGCTTTCACACCTTGGTATGCCCCCGACATGCGTTGTTATTCCCCGCCGGAGATTATCTTTAAAATTATATGATAAAAATCGTTTCTTTATTTGATCTTGAATAGGAAGACAGGGCAGTCTCCGATGGGGTGCCGGAGTTTTTGAAGAACTCTGTCATATTGCAAACTTTCGGAGTGAAATATAACCATCCGTGCCAAGACGTTGAGCATGTTGTCATTCCGCCGTATGTTTCCCCGGAAAGTGTACGGAGCACGCTGACGGCGACGGCAATGTCCGACGGACGGAGAGAGATTTTCGCTTTTTTCAGGGGCAAAATGGAAGTCCGTCCCAAGAACGTTAGCGGTCGTTTTTACGGAAAGTGAGTTTTTTCTTTTATGTCTCGTGTAAAGAGAAAAAGGTTGTGTTGACGTTTGTCGGAATGACGAAAATAACCCTTCCCGTTGTTTTGGACGCAGGCGGGTACGGACGGCGATTCTGCAGAAATACGGAAACGACCGGAAATTTTACCTGAGGAGACACAGTTTCGCCGGTTACCAGTCGGAGATACTCCGGTCGACGTTTTGCCTGTGTCCACTTGGGTGGGCACCGTGGAGCCCGCGACTGGTGGAGTCCGTCGTTCTCGGCTGCGTGCCGGTGATAATCGCCGACGGCATCCGGCTGCCATTCCCCTCCGCCGTGCCGTGGGAAGAAATCTCGGTCACGGTGCGAGAAAAAGACGTTCAAAAACTGCGGCCCATACTCGAGAAAGTCGCCGCCACCAACCTCACGAATATCCAGCGGCGCCTGATGGACCCCAGCGTCCGGCGGGCCCTACTCTACAACGTTCCGATGGTAGAAGGGGATGCCACGTGGCAAGTCTTGCGTGCGTTGACCGATAGGCTAAGCCCGTCCCACCGCAGGGTGACCACTTGATTACGTGGACGGAATCTATTGGCGAAACTTTGATCAGCTGGAGAACGCACTGTTACGTTGATGGATTACAGCTGTGATTGGACCCCACGTGGGCACAGAGAGTGGGCTTGCGTGGGTCCCGATGGGGCAGAGAAACAGTGCAGCTGAGCTGGCTGGATGGGATTGGTGGGCTTTGCGGTTCAGCAGGACGGGGGTGAGTTTATTTTGTATGGATATGTCACATGTGAACGGGCTAAAAAAAAGAAGAGACATGATTGGCTGTGGAGATCCACATTGTCCGCTGTGTGGAATCCAACCACGTTGTAAATGATTACAACAACAACCCAGTTAAATCTCACGAAAATAGGGTTTGGGGAGGCGAGGGTGTGTGTACAATCTTGCCCCTACTCAAAAGTAAGAGATTTTTCTAAAGAGACCCCCGGCTCAACGTCAAAAGTTGCATTGCTTGACTAACTGCTACTTCATTAATTAAAAAAGTACAGACAGTTTAGAGATCCATTTTGATTTATTTCATCACATTCCAAAGCCAAAAAATGGTAAAATTTTCGCTCCATCGGAGATTTATTCCATCACACCCCGGCTCACGTTGTAAATGATTAACGGACGAAAACTAGGAGTATATATCCACACTTGTGTATACGAATGCTTTGTGAGTGCAAAATATTAATGTACAAAACAAGTTACGGAGTATATTTCATCCTCCAAAAGGTGAAATCGCTCACCCGGAGAAATAAGTTATGTTTCATGGATGAACACTAGAATTTTTCGTATAAAGTATGTCTATGTTCATTTATTACTTTCATGTATCAAAAATTTATAATAGATAACCAATATAAGAAACCAGGAGTACTAGATTATTAGTAATTCATCAATTGGTTCATCCTAAAAGTTGTAGTAATATTTGCACTAAATAGCACTAAAACTTAAATTATTTACCTAAATAATACTTAAATTGTTTTATTTTTTAAAGAGCACTTAATAATGTCCATAATATCCAGTGATAACGAAGATTTACTTGAATAATGACTAATGCATAATGACTAAAAGTGTTACATTGGGAAGAAAAACACATGTGGTACTATTTAGATAAAGTCATTATGTTTTAGTGCTATTTAAGTTAATTCCTCTATATTTAATGCAAGATGTTTAAAGAGTTGCTTCGCTTAAGAAATTGACCGAGAGCACCAGTCACTTCTATTTTAAAATAATTGTTTAGAATTTGTTCTCTTTAATACTCCATCCGTCCCTAAATATTCACAACATTTGCTTTTTCAGCACTCAGCAGTCGTGGGAATTTTTGTTTATTTCGACGTTTTCATTGGTTATTTGATAAAATAAAATATTCTTGACATTTCTTATTTCGAAGAACTTTTCATGTAGTTTATTTATATGTAAATTTTATTTTTTATTTTTATACTAATATGTAAATAAAATGAATTGAAAAAACTTGATATTTTGCCTCAAGATTACAAATGTGGCAAATAATTTGGGACGAAGGGAGTATATTCCTATTTGTTGCGTATTTTTATTAGAATTAAATGAGAAATAATTTTAAATATAATTATAGTTAGATTAGATGGAATAAACCAAAATGGATCTCTAAATTGTCTGCGCTTCTTTAATTAATGAAGTAACAGTTAATCAAGCAATGCAACTTTCGACGTTGAGCCGGGGGTCTCTTTGGAAACAGCTTCTCTACTTTCGAGTAGGGGTAAGGTCTGCGTACACACACCCTCCTTGTACCCTACTCTTGTGTGATTTAACTGAGTTGTTGTTGTTGTATAGTTAGATTATATAAAAATTTATTTTGACCAGATCAGATGAAGAAAACATGTCTTTAATAAAACAATTACTCCGTATGTCTCACCAAAAAGATTTTGCTTAATAAATATATTTGTTTAAAATCGTCCCTACAGTTAGCTGAGAGAAGGTAATGAAGCCATAATCTCAAGCAATTGGCATAAGGGTGAGGTTTTATACCTGATACTTTCATAAGTCACATGCTTTGCATGGTTGCCTCTCATCACATATTCGCAACCAGCAAGCTTCGAACTCGATATCTCTTCCTTGTAGCACTTCTTTCCAATCGCTGAGCTATGACTCACCGACAATATTTTGTTTAGAGTTCAGCGTTGTGAAACTAGAGAAATTCAGGGTTGAAGGAGGCGTCACGCCTTGTAACGGTGTGACAACCGCGACATTGCGGGCGTGAGAAATAGGGTTTGATGGTGTTCCTCTTTTTATTTTTTTATTTTTATCTTTTAAACCCGATTAAAATTTAATACACCTTCACACATCATCACTTGCCATCAGCCACCATAACATACATTTTTCATCACTCCAAATCATACATCTTAGCACCCTGTCAAGCCCCCATTAACCCCTAGTGTTTCACGTGCATTCACAATTAATCATCATTTTAGCTATAAAGATAATTATTGTTTATATGCCCCTCCACCCTAAAATTAACTTCCCTGTTTGATTTTTGCCGTATAACTTTTCAAAATTTGACTGTATGAATTTTTACATAAATTTTTATAGAATAATTTTGAAACATAGTTTTGAATTATATTATTGTTTATAATATATATTCATATAAAACAGAGATATTTATGGTCAAATTGTCACATTAGAGTCCGTGAAAAGTTAAATGAGAAGTTAATTTTAGGACGGGGGAGTATATTTTTTCATTTGACTTTTACACTCTTCAATGTGATACTTTGAAGATCAATATTTCAATTTATATATAAATATACATTATAAAAATATGATATTTTAACATTATGTTTCAAAACGAATATATATATTGATATTAATTTTGTATCACAGTTCATCATTTTTTTCGTAATTTGTAATTAAAATGTAAAAAAACTGATCATAAAAATCAAAATGAAAAGAAAGATATGAAACTGAGTGAATATTCTTATCTTAATTATTCATCCTAATTCACTATGAGGAATTTACCTAAATAGCACTAAAACATAATGACTTTCTCTAAATAGCACTACATATGTTTTTCTTTCCAATGTAGCACTTTTAGTCATTATGCATTAGTCATTATTCAAGCAAAATTTCGCCATCACTGGACATTATGGACATTATAAGTGCTATTTAGAAAATAAAACAGTTTAAGTGCTATTTAGGAAAATGACTTAAGTTTTAGTGCTATTTAGTGCAAATATTTCATTCACTATTTGTTGGTCAAACGTTTTTGAGATGAATTTCGTTAGTCATACAGTATGTTAAAATAAGTTTATAGAGTATTTAAAGTACCCCGTTAATATAAACATTGACATTTTGTTTGATTATTTTGTACTCCGTATCATTATCTAAATAAAATGAATTAAAAATAAATTCAATCGAAAAAAAGTCATAGGCAACACAACATAAAAGAAAAATAGAAGATCTATAGTTACCTTTCAAATGCAAAGTGTGGGAACCAAACAATAGAAAGTCACACTCCGTATTTTTTAGTTTCTCCATCAAAAGTTGATGAAATTATAGTTTTGTCCATCGCTGAAGATTTTTTCATTACTTGGAAAATTCCCCAGGCGTTTATTTGGGCCAAATCACGTGAAACAGATAAAATAAAGGATGATTAATTAGAGCTCACACCATAATCACATCCCATAATATCACGGTGATATGGAGATTAATGACATGATTACTTCATATGGTATGATTGGACTTTTTAATGTTGGATTTAAAATTTGAAATGAGGTAACGCACCTTTAAAGAAAATTACTCTCTCCGCTCGAAAAAATTATTGTCGTATATATTGACTTGATTAAAACATAATGTCTTTTCCAAAATAGGATCATATGCTTTTATTTCCCAATGTAAGATGTTTGGTCATTATCCATTAGTCGTTATTCAAGTAAATATCCACCATCACTGGACATTATTTCTCTCGCTAGACATTATTAAATATTATTTAAGGAATAAAAAAGTTTAAGTTCTACATTGAGAAACGACTTATGTTTTAGTCCTATTTAGTACAAATTTCACTTATTTAAAAGCATTATAAAAAGTTTGTTCTTGCATTGACTTGATACGTTTATTTAAGAGTGATAAAAATTATTGACTTTTCATATTTTAAAAAGTGAGTTTTTTTAAAGAAAACCCCCTAATAAATAGGAGTAAATCATTAAGCATATTCCCAAAATAGGAGTGCCAAACTTATATACCCAAAGTAGGAGTTAAATTTAAATTAAATAAAATATATGACATGTTACACGCATATATACTCATTCCAACGGTGCCCCAATCAAAAACAAAAGTTAGTTGGGAAAAAATCATCCTCCATTCCACCTATCTCTGTGGACTCAGCTTCTTCGTTCCCTTACAATCTCCACTGCCACCACCGTACTCAATTCAGCGTCATCACCGTTGCCACCCTCACCCCTCTCAAGCTCTCAGATTCGTCGTGTCGCCGCACCCTCTCAAATCTACCCCGCTGCCCCACCCCTATTTCCCTCTCAAAGCTTTGATTTCAAGAGTGAGTGGGTTCTCTCTCAATCTTTAAATGAATTTATTTTCTTTAAATTTTGTTTGAATGCATTGAGATCACAATTTAGTGTGGAAAAACGGGGTCCACCACCGTTGGGGGTGGTTGGCATCCCAACGCCATAAAGGTGGCTGTGAAAGGGGTGATGGTTGCCGGAAGTCGTTCCGGGCATTGGGTCAGATTTGGCATTAATATATATGCATTTGTGTGACATTGTGGATTTGCATATATGACAATACATATGGGCATTGGTGGCATTATTCATTGCCATTTATGACATTACGTGGTATCATAGTTGACATTATACCTTTTTTATACTATATTTGGCAGTTAATGTGGCAGTGGGCAGTTAACGTACTTCTCATGGGAGACACTTGTCTCGTCCTTTCCTACAATCGCCGAGCAGTTCATGGACAACGCTTTGAGTGATCAAGAATTCAATCAGCTTATTAGCAATATGCAAGGTAGAAATGATGCTAATCTTCACACTTTTGAGGATATTTTCGAGGACATTGAAGAGGCGGAGGAACCAACACCTGAGAGTAACGTACCTACTGGAGAGGATGACGAGATAGGTGAGCCGGAGACCTCTGAAGATCCAGGTAAAGATAAAAAAACTTAGATCCGATTTATTTGTATGTCATTTTCATAAAGATACTTAAAATGACGTAGTTTTTGAAACATATAAACATTGTGGGGCAACCATAAAAATGAAAACTTCCTGGGGTTATGGTGGACCGACCAAACACCTCAAAGCGAGGCACCCCACGAATATAAGTACGCCAAAATGATGGCGAAGAATGTTACTCTTATACTGACTTGACACATTTATTTAAGAGTGTTATAAAAAGTATTGATACAAGAATGCCCTTACTTTAAAAAGTAAATTTTATATATACGGAGTATATAATTAGCTAGTGAGCTAATTTTTTATGAGTAATCATATTTTTTATTAATGTAGTAAAATTAGTCGTTTTTAAAGTAAAAAACATCTATTAATGAGCTAAAAGATTTATAATTAACATAGGGGGCCGGGAGTGACCTCCGACAACGAAAGATAGAAGAACTTATTAATAAAGCATACGTGGCAGAATTTGCCACCCTGCAATTAAGAGAAACTCATATTATCTTAAAAAAGGAGTAGCACTCAAAAGAAATTAATAAAGCTATGGATCAAAATGAGTGAAAGATAAGTATGGTATTGTACGTAGTAAACTTATTGATGGAAAAGAAAATAATTTTAATTACCAGTTATGATATAATATATGGACTAATTATTGTTGGAATGCATAAGTTCAACCCTTTCTCTGTTGTTTAGTGTTGACTCACAGGTTTTGATAATTGAAAAACACAATTTATTCAAGTCAAGATCAAAGTGCTACAACGACAAACACGAAGACTTGAAGTGTCATTCATTGACATATTCAAGAAGGTGGACAGGATTTTATTGGAGTCCGAGACGCGTTCGGAGCGCCTAACGGAGGACTCAGAGGTGTAGAAGATTTCCGAAGACTTTTTATTTATTTGAGTCGTAGAATAATTGTCAAAAATATCTTCTCTCCAAAATTACTTTATGAGAGTTAAAATAAAAATCATATTTATTTTTGGAGTCAGTTGAAAAATCCTTTTAACTGTTCAAAATACATTTATTGAGTTAGTTACAAAAAGTGTGTCAAACATTTATCAAAATATTTATTTTGATATTAGAAAATATTTTTGGAAAGCAAAAAATATTTTATTCAAATATTTTTCGTGTTCATCGTTTGACACACAAAATAATTTTGGGATTCACTTTTTTCTCCCCTATTTCAAATTCATTGAATGAGAGCCTTTTGATTGAGGAGCGTTGCTACTGATTCCGGTTGCCTCAACAACGAGTATGAAGCCAATTCACTCCTCATCGCAACTGGCCTTGGGGCCTTTGTGTTCGCGCATTATAATAATCGATTTTTTGTCTTCAATTAATCGATTAATAGGCTTTTCGTTGGTTTCCCTGGTTTGCCCACTAATCGATTTTTTCTCTTCAATTAATCGATTAGTTCGGACAGAGCCAACTAATCGATTTTTGGACTTCATTTAATCGATTAGTTCCATTCTTCAATTCAGGCCTTTTCGCCTCTGTGTACCTTAATTGATTAAAATATCTACTTTTATCGATTAATTTCATCTGGTGCATATTCTCAGTTTGTTTCAGTGGCTCCAACGGTTCTTTTATCCTTTGCCCATTTAATCTCTCATTCTCCTTGATTTTTTAGAACAAGAAACACTCCTAAACTCCCCTATCTTGAGGTTATAATCCTCCATTCAATTCTTCCTCAAATTGATATATTTTGAGAGAAAACTAAGTGTTTTCAAGAGAGTGTTTTGTCATCCATATAGCTTTAATCATTCCTCATTTCTACTCTTTTGAGAGTTTATGTTGAGTGGTTGAAGAATATTGTTTTTCTGGTTTTTCAAGATTAATGTGACTTAAGTCTTGGTTGTGAAGTCTTGTAGAGAACATATCTACGAGCAGTTGTGTCGAGACTTGTGGGATTCAAGTTCTCGAGTTGTAAACGGTTTGTTAAGCACATGTAAGCTTAACGGAAGTAGTGGTAGCTTCGAAAGAGTCTCTCGGGGAACTGGACTAGCCACGAGGTGGTGAACAAGTATACATCGGGGTGTTATTTGCCTTCTCTCTTTTATTTTCGCTGCACTTACGTTTATATTTTTAATCCTGTGAAAAACGGTAAACATTCTCATCAACAACTCTATTCACCTCCCTCTAGAGTTGCACGTCTTGTCTAACAATTACTCCCTCCGTCCCAAAAAGTTTGTTATGTTTAGAAAAAACTGCGTCCCGTAAAGTCTGTTACATTTCTATTAAAAAACCACTTTTACCACTTACTTTTTCATACCCTATCTATCACATCATACCTTTTTTCTAATAATCTACCCATCACATCCTACTTTTACCCATCACATCAAGGGTGATTTGGGAAAGTGAATACCAAAATATCCCTCCCTTAATTTTTCAAAAAGTCAAACCGTCCCATTCTTTTTGGGACGAAGGGAGTATGATATAGAAAAAATTTATCGTAGTAAACAATAACTATGATAAAGTCACTTTCCATTTCTACACTAATATTTTTTAAGAATTCATTATGGAGTATAATAAGGTTTATATTGATATAGTAATAAAATTTTCACCTCATCATTTCATGGATACGATTTCTCTTTTCTATTCATGTCGTTTTTGTTTCTTTTTACTTTTTCATTTCCTTTTGCTATTCTTTTTATTATTTCATTTTTCTATATCTCATTTGCTTGAACATCACGATAAGATTTTTTTTCTTATTTTAGAAAAAACCAAATGTGTAATTTAAGACTGATGGAATACATAATATTTTTTTCATTTATTTTTATTTAAAACGTAAAGATTTTTTATTCTTTAAAGAATAATAAAAAATAACTAAAAAAGACAAAGAGAAGAAAAAAACAAAAAAAATAAAAAATGAAAGAAAATAGATTCTAATGCCCGTTAGTTTAGAAAATGAGCAGTCATTCCCCTCGCTGTCAAACGTCAATGCACTATGAGAGCGTGAAATACAAACGTTGGAATTTGACTTACAAAGCGGACATAATGCGAGTTTTTAAAACCAAGGATACTTTATTGGTAATTTTTGAATGAATTCGAAAAAAAGAAGTGTTAGAAAAAATCAAAAAATGAAGAAACTAACAATATGTACTTTATAGTTTAAAAAAAGTTAGATGTTAGAAGAAACTCAAAATAAAATGGAAGTAATTAGAAGAAAATGGAAAAAATAGAAGAAACTATAAGAGCCTCGAAAAAACTAGAAGGGACTCGAAAAACGGAAATAAAGGAAGAAACTAAAAAACTAGAAAGAGTTGAAAAAAATTAAAAGAGTTAAAAGTTTTTGAGAAAAAAAGAAATAATGTTGGTGTTGGGACTGTGCGTGCCCTTACTCCAATCCCGCATTAGTATGATATTGTCTGCTCTGGGCCAAATACTCACGAATTTGTTTTTGGACACCTCACAAAAGGCCTCATACCAATGTTATTGGGTGAACCTATATATTTTGGTTCATTTACTCCTAAACTTTCGGTGTGAGACTTGGAGGAATCCCAACATTTTGAATAAATATTTTATTTTTTGAAATAACAAAAACAAAAAACAAAATCATAACAAATGTTAAATTTATACTTTTCTCAAAGAGTAAGTGGAATTCCACTAGAATCCTTGATTCTTAACTCCAGTTTCTCCGCTTAAGAGTATAGTGAATTTCACATATTCAGACTTATTGAAAAATATGAAAGACTAAACTTTCTTTATGGATAAAGCATTATTAGACTCATGCTTGAAGTTGTTGAAATGGTCAATGAATTTGTTTTGTCTGTTATTCCTAGCGATGAAAAGGAATATTTGAGTTCTGATTCTTCATGTCAAGCAAATTCAGATGTAGACATAGATATGATTAGATAATGACCGAGTTTTTGAACAATATCAAATGTGTAGAAATTCAAACCATAAAATAGTTTTGAAGAAAGGAGTATTGATCATGTTATTGAGAAACATTGATCAAACATCACGATTGTGTAATGATATGAAGTTAATCATTGAAGAGTTGCAAAAAAATGTTATCGGTGCAATGGTTGTATCAGGAAACAATGTCGGGAATAAAATTTACATACCAAGAATGAATTTAGTACCGTCTAGTCGTGGATTACCATTTAAGCTTCAAAGAAGACAATTTCCAATATTTTTATGTTTTGCCATGATTATCAATAAGAGTTAAGGCCAAACATTATCATTTGTTGGATTATTTTTATCTAAAGTTCTACATTAAAAGTTCTACAAAATAAGAATGGACAAAAATATTTTATTTTAGCAAATAATCAATTAAAAATAAATAAATAAAAATTATCAAGAAACAAAATGGTACAAAGATGACAATTTAAAAAACGAGGCATAATTTACTTATTTTTAGTAGTGTGAGCTGCATTACAATATAGTATTTGTTCAAACAAACTCTTTCAACATGGGAATCAAACTTGAGCAAATTTCCAATCTAGAATCTTTTTAGTGATCCAAAAGTCAAGAGAAAACTCACTAATGATTACTCCCCTCGTCTCACAGTGTTTGTTTCAATATCTAATGGATTGTAGTTAATTAATAGTCAAAGTTTATCAATTTTGATTCTAAAAGTTAAACTTAAATAAATACTCTGCCACAAAGAGAGTACTACGTACCCTACACCTACCAATACTAACGATTTAATGCATCTTTTACGTAAATCCTATGAAAATTAGACCCGAAATGCAACAAAGGAATTGAAAAACAAACAAGCCCAAGGTAAAAACTGCAATCCTTTTTAACTTTCTCAGACCCCAAACTGATCCGATTGGGGTCATATATGAATATGATGAAGATGATTTTTACAGACTAATAACAGCTTCCAGTTTTCACTAATAGCTTAAAAAATTAGTATAATCAGTCTTGTATCTAATCCCAAACTCTTAGCTTTCTCGGCCTCTTACTATATTCCAACAGCACTGTTCTCGAGAAATCGTGACAATAAGTACCGTTTCGTTCTCATGATAAGCGTGAATGTAAGGAAACATGGAACATGAAGTGCCCCAACCCCAAAGTACCTGCACATTTATGTTGCTTCAAGTTGACCCAGAAGAGAGATTTATTAGAATGTGAAGAACTAAATCGGGATAGAACGTACCATAAAGGAGCGTACGGAGAGGACAAGTCCAGAAATGTATAAGGCCACCTGTTTGAAGCACGCATTTTTTTATGCCCGAAATTTGGTTTTAACTTCAGAGAAAATGTAGAGAAGAGTTCGGGAATATAATGGGGGAACGTACCACAAGGAGACGCACATGTGGAGGATCCACTGGAAAGTGACGAAAACGCAAGTCCACATGACAAAATATGCGATTCGGAAGAAAGGGAATTGCTGGAAGAAGCATTTACACAGGTTAGACATGGCAGAAGGGCAACTTCAAGGGAATAGAACTGGTTAAGAAGATTTAACTTACAAGGCGATTTAGGGCAACTTCACCCAAAAGGCAAATGGCATTTACAGAATGCATACAGACAGCCAGCTGCAATGGGTTAAGCAGATTCAGAAAAATCAAGCAAGGGGTGGAAGTAAAAATAAGTAGAGAGCTAGAAAAGTTAAGAGGTTTCACATACAAAATTCAACCGGTAATCGTTGCTAGTGAGAAATGGGTAAATTATGAGCCAGAAAACAATGTCCGTAAGCACCACAGCTCCTGCACACATCTACAAGTGAAGGGGGAAATTGTCGTAAAATTTGTTTGATTTGTTAAGTAACCGTGCAATTCTTACAAAGGGGGAATTAATTTATTTATTCCTTGGTTTGAAGCCATATTGGCTTGAGAGTTCTTACTTGAAAAATAATCTGCACGGCATAATCCCCAAAACCAGCAGTATCACGATGAATGTAAGGGCCATTCTCGGGATCTGAAGTCACCATGTGAATCCTATCAGCAGAGAGCTCTTTACATGATTTCAGCCCATATATGGATTGTAAAGATCCTACCTACAACATTATAGGGCAAACCAAACAAATATCATGATTCATGAATAATTATACCCCATTGTTGCCGTGCATTTCAATGATGGTTAAAGAGAAAGATTAGCATACCCCAAAGTAGATGGTGACCAGAGTGAATGTCCACCTATTTTGCACAAAAAAAACACCAAAAGAAAAAGTATACGTTATGAGCAATGGAAGTGTGATATACGGGTTGCCACACTCTAAGAGTTTGTCATAATTACAATAAAGGGCAGGAATTGCAAAATTACAATAGAATCAACACTTAGGTGTAATAGAAAATAGTTGGAGAAGATAAAAGAAACAAAGGGTGTAAAATGCCCTTACTCAGTGTAATAGAAAAAAATGCCGCCGCTATGCAAAACAACATCTCCAATGAGCAATCCCAGAAGCAGCAAAAAGGCAAGAATCCGGTAGGCAAGCAGCCAAACAGGATGGAGAGATTTATAACAAGTCTTCCAAACTTCATCCTTGCGCAAAATCCCTCTTTTCTTTGAATCCTCCGCATCCTCATTTCTTGATTTCGATGACCCTTCATACCTCCAAATTATAACCGCAGAAACCACCATAGCTGCAAGGACCCCTACTAGAGACACTAAGAATCTCCAGTTCAACCAGTAACCCGGAGTGTTTGTTTCGGATGTCATGATTGGCCACCAAGTGTGATTCCCGAACCCTATCGAGAGATTCATTTCAGTTCTATAAGCTCTAAATTCTCAACAAGAAGAACACCTAACTAATGGCCGTTAATTTCCACAAAAAAACAAAACTTTGGACAAAACCAAAGCAGACCCAAGATATAATTTTGATAAACAAATAGGTATCAGCTCGGTGTAAATGGGAAATTGCTTGACCATAGTATAGTACTAATATATAAGACAGAGACAAAGGCTTCCAGGGCAGTTCAGGAAGCATTTGAAATCAACTAAAGTGAATTCCATGGAGACAGAAAATCAATTCCTAAAAAAAAGATAGCAGCTTTAAAGTAACATCAAAAGCATCTTCAGATTCCAAACAAGAAAATGCAGAGAGAATACGAATATTATCCATGAAAACTTCTGAAAAAAGCATATATATATATGAGATGTGGGAAGATAAAGTACACACGCAAATTGTATGATCAGAGTACATGGGAAAAAAAGGGTGGTACGAAAAAGAAACAGACTGAAGAGTACCCTTTGATTCTTGAAAATTTGGGGAATTAAAGAATCATGAACCGAAATTCAAGAAACGCCGCGGGAGTCAGGAGATATGCGATTCCGATCTTGATTTGTCTATGAATTTCAGGTTGGGTTCATTGGCGTTCTGGGTTGCAGTCAAAGATGTTGGAGGAGGAGAGCCAACGGCAGCAGAAAACAGTCCACTGGATCTTGTTTTTTACAAGTCAACCATCAAATTAAACTAAACTGCAGTCCTACGCCACAGAATTAAATTAGAAAAACCCTTTTATAGTCATGAGATAGCTCGCATTGTCCTGGAGTTCTTACAGTACTTTTTTAGAAAAAATTAATACTCCGTAGTTATTATCCAACTAGAACCCAAATTTATCTCCTTGGATTCCATTTTTAAAATTTAATTCCTCCGACCCAATTTGATTACAAATTGGGGTTTACGAGAAGAAATATCTCACTTTTTGAAATTATTTTATTTACAAATTGGTATATCGATAAGAAATAAAAATTACATATTAAAAAATTATGTCAAAAGTTCTACAAAACAAGAGGTAATAAGAATATTTTATTTTATCAAATACTTAATGAAATCGCGAAACAAACAAAAATTATCGAGAAGAGAAAAAAAAAATTATAACCTAATTCGGGACAGAAGGAGTAGTTGATATTGAAATCAAAATTTAACTCCAAAGTCAATTAAATTTAAATGAGTACAATTGAATTATGTGATTCCAAATAGATTAGGATGAGAGATTTATTAGAGGGTTAGTGATAGTTGAAATCATCAATTTTGAAGTGAGATTTTGTAGGGACCCCAATTAAAATTTGTATCATAGATTCATAGTATAAAATTGGGGTTAAATGTTCATCCCCACCCCCTTAGCTTTACATTGTAAATTTGTGACATTTTATTCGTAACTTTAGCACAAAAAAGAAGGTGAACTTATAGAAGTATGTTGGGGTGGTGACAAAGAAGTCACACTAAATTTCTCTATATTCAGTGTTTGAGTTCATCTCTTCACTCAATAGGTTAAATTAGTATAAACAGACAATAGAACATTAAAAAAAAGGTGAACTCGACTCTAAGGTTGTCATTGTTATATGTCGAATCTGAATAACTAACCTTTTAGCACTCATCTCTCAATACTTAAGCTACATCACACACTGTAGAAAATAAGAGAGAAAATATTTCTGTATATTGAATTGACTTGTGAATACAAAGATCTAACTCTCTTTATATAGGAAGAGGGTAAAGCAAACAAGGAAATTTCTATTTCTACTAAAATAAGAATTAAACAAAATAGGAAAGATACTAAACCTAATCCCAAAGAGAGTCGGTTTCCTTCTTCAATCCTGCTTCCTTCATCTGTCTCTAACACTTTCCTTCTTCAATCTTGCTTCCTTCTTATATCTCTAACACACACGCTTAATTGTTTGTGACTTTAGTAGCATCTACTGTTAGAGTGCATCCCACATCGGAAGTTCAAAAATAAAATAATCGGTATATAAGCTCTCGAGTTGAACTAACTAATCGATTGAATTCAATCTTTTAATGTAGTTCAACCCAAGTGTCTTATTACCCAATCCAGTTGTCCAAACCCATCCTAAATTTTATCATGGTATCAGAGCAGGTTTTGGCTCACCTCGTTTGTCAAGCTGTCCGTCTAGACGTTCGTTTCTAGCGGTCCGTTAGTCTTTAGCCTAGTGTTACGTATGGAGTATGTATCCAACGGCCTGTGGCCCGTTTAACACGATTGCTCGTCTGGAAGTCCATACCCAGCGGTTCGTGGTCCTTTAGGTGTTGGCGCTCAAAAAAAGTCAAAGAAATGGGAGTTCATTTGCAAGTGGTCAACCGGTTAGATTCAAAATGGCCCGGTTGTCCACTTGAGGGGGAGTGTTAGAGTGCATCCCACATCGTAAGTTCAAGAATAAAATAATCGGTATATAAGCTCTCGAGTTGAACTAACTAATCGATTGGATTCAATCTTTTAATGTGGTTCAACCCAAGTGTCTTATTACCCAATCCAGTTGTCCATATTCATCCTAAATTTTATCATCTACGTTTGTTGAATAATTTTTGTATTTACTTGAGCAAATAAATACTTCTTCTCTTTCAGTGTATTCGTCTAGTTTAATTTTTATTAATCAAATTAGACGAACTTTAATTATCAATTACTCTCAATTTGTATTGCATATTAATATCATAAACTCAAATTTTGAAAGTTCAAAATAAAATAAAGCTAATGGAATCATTTTTATACTAATGGAGTATATTATAATTGTTTATTTGTTCAGTTAGACTCGAAAAAGTTAATCTAGATGAATATACTCTGACAGATAAGAGGTAGTAACTTATTTGTGATTATTGAATGTATAATTGGTGATTACTGCCTCTCTCATTTTAGAATCTTCATTTAGTTTGATTTTTTGAACTAGACAATTTTTAATAATCAATTACACCCTTTGTTTTATATCTTTCTTTCAATTTTGACTTTAGTGATCAAAATTTTTAAAATTTGATAAAAAATTATGGAAAAATACATTAAGTTGTGATATAAATTTAATATCATATATTTATTTTGAAATGTAGTTTTGAAATATCATTTTTATATTGTATATTTGTATATAGATAAAGATATTAATAGTTAATGTGTTGTATTGGATACCATGAAAAATCAAATGAGAAAAAGAAGATATGGGACGGGTGGAGGGTATTAAACTTGCATTGTGTTTTAAAACAATGAAATAAATTTTGAATTTACTTTTGTACTAATATGTAATATACTTTTGATTTAGGGTAATTTACTTAAATATGATTACAACATAATGACTTTCTCAATATATGACCATATATTTTTATTTTCCAATGTAAGACCATTGGTCATTATCTATTAGTCATTATTTAACTAAATGTCCAGCATCACTTGGACATTATTCTTCTCACTGGTTATTATTAATTCCTATTTAGGGAATAAAAATTTTTAAGTAGTACATTGAGAAATGACTTATATTTTAGTCCTATTCAGTGCAAATTTTACTTTGATTTAATCAATGATTAAATTTTGTTAAGTTAACTCTAAAAATTATGTTCCACAAAATATTCTAATAAGTTGGAATTGACTAAGTTCTTCGGTTAATGAGGGAACATAAGAAATTGGGGGTGCGACGGGCGGATCTCCATTGCAGCTCGCCTGGCGGAATTCAAGTGCGACGCTGAGCCGCTGATGCGGCACGGAATTGATCGTGAGACGGGGAGATCTAGGCATGTTGGTATAAACCACCATTTATCTTGTTCCCACCTTCAACTTGAGGGGGGGTGTTGGTGTAAACCACCATTTTTTTGTTAACTTGTTTCTTTCACAAATACTCCCTCCGTCCTATAATGATCTTTCAAGAGCACTATTCCAACTTCCCGTGAATTTATATTTATTTGTGTTTTTTCATGGCCTATATGATAAAATAAAATATTCTTGTCACCACATGTTTTGTTGAACTTTTGGTGTAGTTTTTAAATATGTACGTTTTATTTTTTATTTCTATACCAATATTCAAATAAAATAGATTGAAAAAATTTGAGATTTTTCTTCATTTTGCGAACCGGAAAGATCACTATATGACGGAGAGAGTAGGTAAATAGTCTCTGTAGTTTCAAAAGTTGTGAAATAGTCTAAATGGTAAAAAATGGATGCATAATTAGTCCTTTTTTATTTAAAGTGTAAAGCGCAAAACATTCCTCGAAACCACTCTTGTAAGCTAGATTTGGCTTCATTCTTGTCGCTCATCGTCGCGAGATTCTCACATCTGCTCGCTACTTTGCATCTCAATTGGAGACCCAAAGACGCGACCTAGGGTTAAAAACCCTAGCCCAAGCGTCGTCTCCCTCCCGGTTCTCGCATATGAAAGATCAAGATGAAGAATTGACACGATCGAAGATGAAGGATCAAAGATGATGAATTACTATGTGATAAGACGGTCTCTTTGTAAATCTCATATACGGAATGCACATTGCACGCATACTATATAAAACTATGAAACATATAACCAAATAAATTAAAGAAACTAATTTGATAGAAATACTTCATGACCAGTTTATCGATTTACATTGAATCATACATGGTAAGATAAAAAGTTGTACACATGCCAAAATTTAACATTGTTACTAAATTGTACATCTATCATTAAGTTAATCTAAAATTTTCACAAAAATCTAAGATCTTTTGGTAAGATATTAAGCAACTACAACTTACGGAGTACATTCTAAGCTAAAATTCTATATTTGGTCTCTTAAAGTAGAATTTTTCATATTTAGTACTTCGTATGCTTTTACTAAATATTCAGTGGGGTTCCCTAGACATTAAAATCCTGTGACATAAGATGGCATAGGCTCCAATTGGAGTCCTTACGGTGCCCGTTTGAGAATGTGACGATACTTACATCACATAATGCTTTGGTAATCCCCCCGACCACACCACCAATGCCCGACTCAAATCGACCACACCCGTTCAATTACATCCTACAATTTTTGGTGACGTCAGAGTCAATTTTATTGATTTCGAAGTCAACTAAAATTGCGAGTGCAATTCGTAGGGATAGAGAGGTGTTCATTGACGGTGTTTATCAACGACAGTATGAACCGTCAATTTTTAGCATAAGGCCCTCCGCCACCAATGCCCGACTCAAATTGATCCGACCCCTTCAATAATATCTTGCAATTTTAGGTGACTCCAGAGTCAAATTTATTGATTTCGAAGTCAACTAAAACTGCGAGTGCAATTGGTAGGGGTAGAGAAGTGTGAGGTGAGGGTGTTTATCGAGGATTACGACAGTAGGAACCGTCAATTTTCGGAATGGGATACCACAGGGCCCTTGAATTGGAGTTTGTGCCATGTGATGACATTTAGGTTCAATGTCAATGAACTTTATCTTAAATTTTATATTGACGATTCTTCGATAAATTGAGAGTTAAAATTTAAATTGAGGTAAAAACAAAAAGGAAAAAAAGTTATTAGCATAAGCACCCCCCACCAATGCCCGACTCAAATCGATCTCACCCCTTCAATTACATCCTACAATTTTAGGTGACTTCAAAGTCAATTTTATTGATTACGAAGTCAACTAAAATTGCGATTGCAATTGGCAGGGGTAGAGAGGTGTCAAGTGAGGGTGTTTATCGGAGATTACGAGAGTAGGAACCGTCAAATATTCGAATGGGACATTATAGGGCTCTTGAATTGGAGTTTGTGCCATATGATAACATTTAGGTTCAATGTCAATGAACCTTGACCTAAATCTTATACCGACAGTTCTTCGTTAAAATGAGAGTTAAAATTTCAAATTGAGGTAAAAACAAAAAGAAAAAAAAGTTATTAGCATAAGTGTTCTCTGTGGTATTCAATAAATAGGTCAATTGCATTTTTACTTTCAAAAAATCTTTTTTTAAACAAACTAATCCGGGAAAAATACTTCTTGAACGAGTCCTGATCGATCATTTAAAGTAAAAAAAATCAAAAAATTCTCCGACCTGCCGGATTCGAACCAGCGACCTAAGGATCACCTGCTTCAACTACAGTCCTCCGCTCTACCAACTGAGCTAAGGTCGGATGTGCATTCCTCTCGATAATAGGAATAGAAAATGTTTAACATTAATGTGGATTAATTAGATGGCATAAAATAAAAAATAGGGACTGGGAGTCGGGGAAAATGTCTCTTCGGTAGCAAGTTTTTTGTGGTCCTTATGTCAAAGCTCGTTTTATACACTTTAAAACATAAACAACATGAAAAAGTTGGACTTTTTACAAAAAAAATTAGCTATAAACTCATGAAAAATGAAAGAAGGTTCACATTTCATATGTGAAACCTTAAGACTATAAAGCACAACTACTCTTTATTGGTCCATGACACAGTTGTCCAAGAGCACAAGGTTGAAATGAGACCAACATGGGTACTTGAGGCCGATGAAGATCAACCCGATATAGTGGCAGATCTACTATATATTAGTCTGGGGCCAGTGCCGAGATAAAAGATCATTTTTGGAATTCACTAAAAAAAAATATATCAAGAACGTAACCCACTTTTCAGTAACGAGATATTGTATATTTAGTAAAAATGTGACAATCTTTTTGGGACGGAAGAAGTATTTTGTTTGTAGGATTTTATATGTAACTTTTAAATATAGCAGTATGTTGGTGAAGATGGAGGAGTAATTATTATTTCCGGTAGCAAATTAGGAGTGTGTGACAAATTTAGTCTTATCAAAGTCTTTTTCTGAAGGGGTCATATTTTGGTAGATGTGTACTCTTTTAGTCTTATTTGGGTTCTTCTCCCAATAATTAATTCGCCCACACAAAAATGTTTTACTTGACCATTTCGTTTTCACCAACTATAAGACAAATAATGAAAAATACATAGTTAGAATTTCTTAAGAGAACCATTGTCAATTATATCTTCATTACTTAAAGATAAATTGAAATAAATGTAAAGTATTTTTTGAAAATTAAAAAAAAAGTGTAAAATAAGTGTTGGAACGGAGGGAGTATTTTGTTTTAAAACTAAAATCAATATTTATACAAATTTAATTGCAAATATTTTAATCAAGCTAAGCATCATAGTTTTTAATGTAAAATTCTCTTAGGAAAGGAGTATGAAATTGCTATAGACAATGAGTCGATCATATCATTTCATCCATCGAGCCATTGACAGTATGAGACGTACATGATAATTGGTACACCGCACACATGTGTAGTATGCAAATTAATTAACACTACACATTATTAACATTTTGTGATTCTTTTCATCTTTTTCACAATCTTTATGAGTGTGTATATTTGACAATTCACGTGATATACATACTTTGCAACAAAATATAGAAACATACATTGATCACACACATGTCCCAACCATTTTGGGAGGCTTGTATGCTAAGTTCAACAACCCTTTGCATGGTTGGTGGCACATCTATGGAATGTCAAAACCAAACCAAACCGAACCAAATTCGTTCAAATAAAATCAGTAACACTCGGGTGTTCGCGAACGGTCTCTGCTACTGTCCTGGCAATAATCGTACACCTTGTGGTACCTCTGGGCCCATGCCATGGCGGCATACTGCTGGCGGCTCAACCCAGTGTAGCCGCCCGGCGAGCTAGAAACCGGGCGGCACCAAACGGCGGCCTGCTCCTCGCAACCGCCGATCTTGATATCCATGTACTTGGCGACGAACGGTTGGTAGTTATAATTGGCCCGGTACTTCCCGTTCTCCGTGGCCCAAGATGACGCGTCCCAAATCGAGCCGTACACGTACATCGGCCTCTGCGGGAATGTCGCGTCGATCTTCCTCGGATACCGTCGGATCGGGATGTCGTCCACGAAGAATCTGCGGCCGTCCATTTCAAGATCAATTGTAACAATCAGCCGACACGTTAGTTTGTTGCAAAAACGAAAACGATGGGAAGCAAACAAAAGTTTGTGGTGTGAAATTGAGGGGGGGCTATACAGAAGAAGTGACAGAACCAATTTCTGAGGTGACTATGTTGGGAGTAGATGAAAACAAAAGTATAACATCAGACAGAAATAGCATCATGTGAATTATTGTCAGCTTGTGGTCAATAATTGAGAAATGTCTGTGCACAAATGTTTGTAAAACCTTTAATTTCTTTTCTAAATGTCTACCCTATATATACATTCTCCCTCTCACATTTAATTTACAAAACTAATGTACTGAAATTCCAATTTATAATTGTCCGGTCGGGTCTGATAACTCTTTGTGGATGGGGCTCAACATTTACAAAATTAATGTAATAAAGTAAAGTTTTTGGGTTAAACTAAAAGATGGAGCAAGGGCAAAAGGTCTTAGAGCATCTACAATGGAGCTCGATCAAAACCCGCTGCGTTGCAAGAAAAACCACGCCCGCCGCGTCAGAGCTTCCATTGCAGGACGACCAGTGGAATATCAGCCGTAGCGCTTGCCGCTAGAGCGGCACCCAACCGGGATTCAAATGCGGCTCTACGGTCCAAAAATAATGTTCTTACTTATCAACTCAATAAATTCAACACATCCTCAACTTCAATTCATCCCAATTTCGAATGAACTCGATGTTGTCATTTGTTTTACAAATTCTGGAGTATTTTTTATTTTAATTTTAAGCATGTTAAATTTCTCCTTTCATTAATGTAGTATTTCGTAATTTAAATATTGTATTCAGTTATTTTTAGATTTTTAATTGTTACAATCCTTTTTAATTATTAATATACTTTTATTAATAAATAAATATTTGTATTAAATCTATATAAGTTTTGATTTGAAATGATGAATAATATAAAAAACGAAAGACAAATTTTTGAGGGTGATAACATTACAAGATTTTAAGACAAGACTAAAAATTAGTAGAATCTCGATGTGATAGACAATGATGGACGTTATGATCAAGTGGTACAATAATTGTTGTTTCCATAAATGGAATATCTCAACTCTAAAACTTGATTTTTTATAATTGATATAGGGAAAAACATATACTCCATGTACGAATAAATATTATACTTCTTTGTCCTTAAAAGTTTTTTTGTGGAAGAATGACCAAAGTAGGACTAAAACATTGAAAATATATCAAAATAGGACTTCCATGTTTTTATTTCCGAAATAGGATTTACATTACCAAACATTATCATATACATTACAAAAAAAGTATAGTAATGTCTAATGTGCACATGTACACTGCCACATTACCACAGTGCAAAAACGCATTATCACAGTGCAAAGTCCTATTTCGGGAAAAAAACATGAAAGTCCTATTTTGGTACTTTTCTCTATGTTTTAGTCCTATTTAGAGTGATTTCTATTTTTTTGTCTCAATTTTTTTCATTTCTATTAAAAATTACCTTTACATATACTAATTTTTTACCGTATCTATCACATCATGTTTATTTCGATCCATCCGTCGAAAAATGTTATCTAGCTTTCCTTTTTAGCCCCTTCAAAAGTATTTTTCCCAATCCTTTTTTAGCTTATTTTTTAAGAATAAATGTCAATAATACTCTCCCACTTTAACACCACCCACCCACATTAATTCACCCCAAATTAAACTAGATACGTTACGTTCTTGAAAGTTTGACTTTTTTTTAACTCCTAAATAAACATGTCAAGTCAACACATAAAGAACATTTTCGTACGGAGGAAGTATTCAATAATTATCTGCCCACTACATCTCACTTTTTTCTATCATATCAATAGCGATTTGAAAAAAATCAATACATAAAATATCACTTTCTTAGATCTCATTAAAGTCCAAATAAGAAATTAAGAATGAGATTTAGGGAAGAAGGGAGTATTCTAATACGGTTATAGTAGGGAAGAAACAAAGAGCAAGGTATATATAGTACATACATGATCTCGTCCCAATTCCAAAGAATGGCATAATGGTGGAAACCTTGGGTGGGGTCGAACCAGAGGTGGAACCGCATTTCGCGTCCGATGATGTTTCCGTCCCCGCTCCCTCTTATGTACACGTTTGTTTGCAACGTGTACGGCTTTCCCGGGGTCGTCCCCAGGAACTCAATGTCAATTTCGTCGTGGGTTCCCGGGTGCTGCTCCGTGTTCGATAGCTATAGGCACCAAGAATAAATTGATTCATCAACTGCTCTTATAAAGAACAATTAAACTAACATTGTCATGTTCAAACCAAAATTAATTACTACTACTTGGTAAGGAGGAGTTCTTACATAGAAAGATGTTATGACCCCAGCTGTGTATCCGGATTGGAGCTTAATGGAAGCCCCAAAATAGCCAGATCTATATGGACGATAAGATCTAAACCCGCTTCCTGCATTTTGATTATAATTTTACGAGTATTATTGTACAAAAAAAGAATAGAAATACATTAATTGGCATTATTATTAATTAACTTACTATGGCACCATTTATAAGTGTACGTAAGCAAAGATGAGATTTAAAAATAAAAATTTCTTATGGGTCAGTTATGGCAAATTTAATGATAAGGGTAGCCAACAATTTGATTTTTTTATCATTATACTCCCTCCGCCCCTTTGACTTTTTGAGAATTTAAGGGAGGGATATTTTTGTGTTGACTTTTCAAAAATACCCTTGATGTGATGTGTAAAAGTAAGATGTGATATGTAGATTATTAGTAAAAGGGTATTATGTGATAGGTAGGATATGAAAAAGTAAGAGGTAGAAAAAGTTTTTTAAGGAAAAAGAGATTTATTTGGAGACAAAGAAAAAACAAAAGGAAAAGTTTATTTAGGGACGGATAGAATTTAAAAAAAAACAAATTGGGGGTGTTATTTGAGCAAATTCAAAGACCATACCGCCGCCAGCCCCACGCAAATATAAATCGCCCAAAGTGGTTGCGGACATGCCGTTGACTTGTCGTTACTCTTTCATTTTTGCAAAATCTTTCCATTTAATTTGCCAACTCAAACAAAATCTCAACAACAAAAATAATCTTTCCAACTTTAATTAGTACTGTTATACGCATGCAAAATAATAATAATAATAAAGGTCAAATTTTTATTGATTAAGGGAGAGATGAGGTTTATTCAATGCACTGAATATTAACCCAAAAGGAAAATATTCATATTTCATTTTATTAGTTTCATTGGGGTATAGTAGTTAAACAATAATTTTATAATTATTTTATTCTTTCTAAAAAAATACTCCCTCCGTCCCAAAAAGTTTGTTACGTTTAGAAAAAACTCCGTCCCATAAAGTCCGTTACATTTCTATTAAAAATCACTTTTACCCCTTACTTTTTCATACCCTATCTATCACATCATACCTTTATTCTAATAATCTACCCATCACATCCTACTTTTACCCATCACACCAAGGGTATTTTTGGAAAGTCAATACCAAAATATCCCTCCCTTAATTTCCCAAAAAGTCAAACCGTCTCATTCTTTTTGGGACGGAGGGAGTATATAATTAAGAACGTGAAAGTAAATTCAAACTTATAACTTAGATAAGAAATATGTCGTCATTTCCATTTCTGGAAGTTCATTTTCGTTTTTTATAAAGATATGTGGACCTCAATATTTTTCCTCATTCAAATTGATTCTGGCTATACAACTTGAAGTATTCTAAAGTGAAATTTGCACTAAATAAAACTAGAAATATTTGCACTAAATAGCACTAAAACTTAAGTCATTTTCCTAAATAGCACTTAAATTGTTTTATTCCCTAAATAGCACTTAATAATGTCCATAATGACCAGTGATAACAAATATTTACTTGAATAACGACTAATGCATAATGACTAAAAATGCTACATTGGGAAGAAAAAAACATGTGGTGCTATTTAGAGGAAGTCATTATGTTTAAGTGCTATTTAAGTAAATTCCTCATAAAACTAAAACATAATGACTTTCTAATCTAAGACTTAAACTTTTTTATTCTCTAAATAGGACTTAATAATGTATTCGTGGAAGGAATAATGCCCAACAATGATGGACATTTACTTGAATAATGACTAATTAATAATGACCAAAGGTCCTACATTGAGAAATAAAAACATATGGTCCTATTTTGAGAAAGTCATTATGTTTTATTCCTATTTAGGTAAATTACTCTATTATAAATTCCCCATTTGATATGTATAAAATAGAGTTTTAATTAAAGACCACACATAAGCATATGATAAAAAAAATGAAAAGGACTAAGATAGTAAAATGGGACATATGACCAATGGACAAAGTGGTGAGAAAGTGATATCTTTGTCAAGTTCAACTAAATGACTTTCTAAAAAACAATTTAAACGTACAATTTATGCAAAGTACCAAAACAACTCCATAATGGGGACACCCCACCACTACCCACTACGTACCAGCCAGTCCAAGAGACAAATTAATTGAAGAAAGCCAAGAGTGAATCACCATCACCATTTATACCCCTTTCTCCTAATTTTGTTCTCTTTCAACTTGCTTATTTCAAAATTTTACCAGTATTTTGTTTTACCCTTTTTACATAAATATTTTATAACTCACATTATTTCTATCTCGTTTAATTAAAAAAAACTAACACACATGTCAAAGCTAAGTGATCGAGAATCAAACACCAAGCCGGACATAGGGTGAGATCGACTCCCTTCATTTTACCCGTAACATAAGAGCATCCAGTAATTTTTTTCTAAATTATAGAACGGTGAGATTATATATTGACAGTAAAGAAATGTAAATAGGGTGCGGGGACCTGTGGTATGATCGAGCCATATGGTCAAAGCACCCTGGTTACTAAGAGACTGGTGTTGGGAGCCCCAATAGCTGGCGAAATACTGGTTAAACCATATGGATCCCACTTTCGAGCTCGGGTAGTATCCTGGGGAGGGAGGACCCTGAGCATGGCTTCTCGAAACCATCGTCAGAATTTGCGTTAGTAGTGTGAGAGAAAGAACAACTCCGAGCTCACGATGACGACGACCATGAAAAGCCGCCATCGCCACTTCTTGGATATGATTTGTGTATATGTGATGAACAACAATATAATGAGAGAGTATAGAAAAGGGTAGTATTGTATATTTACAGTGGATTCATACAATGGAATGTGCACTTCTTGGAGCATTTGGGAGATGGTATAAATAGGATGAGTGAAGGGTCCCGCCGGGAGAAAAAAAGGGGATAGGGGATAAGCTAATGAAGTTGATGGAAGTTATAAGTACAGACAGACATTATATATTAGCCACACTTAAATTAATTTAAACCGGCCGGCCTGGCCTCTTATATACTCCCTCCGTTCCTAAATAAAGTTCCATTTTTGACTTTTTGAGGATTTAAGGGAGAGATATTTTGGTGTTGACTTTCCAAAAATACCCTTGATGTGATGTGTTAAAGTAAGATGCGATAGGTAGATTATTAGTAAAAAGGTATGATGTGATAGATAGGGTTTGAAAAAGTAAGGAGTAAAATTGGTTTTTTAAGGGAAAAGAAAAGTTTATTTAGGGACAAAGAAAAAACGAAAGATGAACTTTATTTAGGGACGAGGGAGTATATGGATGTTGTGTGGAAAAAAAATCAAATGGCCGTACGTTATATGATCGAGCCAGGTCTTAAAAGTAAACTTATAGATAAAAGTCGCCATTTCTAATCCAACAAAAAAGTCGACGGCCTGTTCGTCTTTGTTTTTTTTTGTCCATCAATTTTATGTGTGTGGACCGTGTAATTAAATATCCTAGCTGCGCTAGCTTCCTATGCGTGATTATTGTTTGCTTGAATGGTTGTAACTCCAATTGACATTATTTTTTGACCAAACAATACGTCTTATATGTTTAATTGTTAGCTATTTTGTGTTAAATACATATAGAGTCGTAGCATCCAACCCGTGATCATTATGCTGAAGCAAGTGGGCTTATTTGCTTAAAGTTTATGTAAAATTTTGTGAAAAATTGATCTGCGTTCGACTGATCACACGTAGTGCATTTATATACAAACATACAAAGCGGGCTATTATAAGTGGGCCCAAAAAACCATTCTTCGTTAATATTACAAATACCCGCCAACAATCTCCCTCAAGTTGGCGCATGAAAGTCCTGAATGCCCAACTTGCTCAACAAAAAATCAAAAATAGGTTTTGCCAAAGGTTTGGTAAAAATATTCTCTAACTGATAGCGAGTAGGAACATATCTCGTGGAGACCTCGTGGCGCTGGACACTTTTGCGAACGGTATGACAGTCAACACTAACATGCCTCATACGTTCATGGAACATCGGATCAGCAGAAATATATAAGGCTGACTGGTTATCACAATATAATCTCGGAGGATATAAAATATGAACAACCAAAGCAATAAGAATCCCCCACATCCATCTTATTTCGATGCAAGCATTGACCATAGCTCGATCGATATTCACCCTCTGCACATGATCTAACAACAGTTCTCTGCTTCTTCGTTTTCCAAGACACGGGAGAAGTGCATGCCCAACAGAATAAAATACCCTTAACGGACCGACGAGATAACGGGCAACTAGCCCAATCGGAATCACAATATGCTGAAATTAGTAGATTACTGTTGGCACTAAGAAAAATGACATGACCAGTGTGACCTTTGATGTATCAAAGAACACTAGGGATGATAACGGGTCGGGTTCAGGTCGGATAGTACTATACCTGAACCCGACCCGATTTCTAAAATCGAAACCCGAACCCGACCCGAAACCCGACATTTTAAGCCAAAAACCCGACCCGACCCGACCCGAACCCGACATTCCAACCCGAAACCTGACCCGAACCCGACTTTTAACCAATAATCAATTCAATGTACCCCAATAATTTTTAAAAGATTAAATCTGATTTTTTTGCATATCATTTTTTATTAAGGAATTATAAAAATGATTATAAATGGCATACTTGATATAGTAGCACTTTGTCAAGAGATTATACGGAGTGCTCATTATATTTATAGATAAGCTTTTATGTTATAAAATATTCGGGTTTGAGTCGGGTCGGGTGTGGGTTTGGGTCGGGTCGGGTAAAATAATAAACCCACACCCGACCCGATGTCGGGTTCGGGTAAAAAATTTCGGGTCGGGTTCAGATTATTTTATTATCGGTTTGGGTTCGGATATTTTAGTGGTCGGTCGGGTCGGTTAAGATCGGGTTCGGGTTGAATTGTCATCCCTAAAGAACACGCATGACGGCATTCATGTGAGCCATAGTGGATGCCTGCATGAACTGAGATAAGACATTAACAGAATAACAAATATAAATCAGGCGCCTTACAAGGCGTCGATACCGAGCCGGGTCGTGAAGAAGCGGTGTGGTCGACCGACTTAGGCTGTGCATTATTCGCAACGACGTGTCCGCGGGTTTGCAACCCAAAAGCTCTGCTTCTTGTAAAATTTCCAACGCATACTTGCATTGACATAAAACAAGAAGAACGATCACACTCAATGCCTAAAAAATTGACAGGGCTTAAAACCTTGAGCTAAAAACACCAGTCCAAGTAACGTTTAAAAGAAACACACAGAGAAAAATCATTCCCAGCGATCAAAATGTCATCTACATACACCAACACGATAAGAATATCAGATCCACGCCGGAGAATAAAAAGAGTATGATCTTTATGCGCCTGCTTAAAACCCCATTGACAAAGAGTTGTGCTAAGCTTATGAAACCAAATACAAGGAGATTGACGCAAACCATATAAAGATTTACGAAAGCGACACACTTTTCCTGGATAGAGTATCCAGGTGGAAACTGTATGTAAACTTCTTCAATTAAATCATCATTCAAAAAATCATTATTAACATCTAGCTGATGTATCTCCCAACCCTTTGCCACAACAACTGAAAAAAGAATACGTATCGTTCCCATTTTGGCCACGGGGGCAAAAGTGCTTGTATAATCTAGCCCAAACTCCTAGTGATTTTACAAAACAACAAGATGAGCTTTATCATCTTTCTTCATGCCATCCGAATGAAATTTGGTATAGTATACCCATTGACATCCCAGGGCCATCCGATTTGGAGGAAGATCCGTAATATCCCAAGTGTGATTATTCTACAAGGCAGTAATCTCCTGCTGCATAGCTTGACGCTAGTTGGCGTGTTGTATAGCTTGTTTGAAAGTCATCGGTACTTCATGGGAAGTTACAGAAACAAGATATCCGCGATACCTGTCATGCAATTTCTCATAATGAACAAAGTTATGTATAGGATACCGAGTACCTGAAGATCAAGAGGAGGAAATAAGAGGAGCAAGAGGGCTTAATGTCCGGGTGGTGTGGCAGTAGTAATCGGACAAATGGGCTGGGGGCGATGGTCACGAACAAGAAAGGAGGGCGACGATGAACTGTCCGGGGCAGACTCCAATTGCTATCGGAAGAGAAGCTGGATTCCTGAAGAGACGCTGGCAGTGGTCCCCTGGGTGTGGATGATGTGGGTTCGGTAAGGGAGGTTGGAAAATTGGCATGGACAGGCCATGGGATTACTTCGGGTGGTGAGCGTGAAGGCTGGGAAATGGCAAATGGGAAAACTATTTGATCAAAAGATATGTCCCGGATATGAAAGAAATGATGAGATTCGAGGTCATAAATAATGCACCAACCCTTAGTCTCTAGCCTATAGGATACCCCACGAACATACATTTGACGCTACATGGGTGAAAATGATTCTGGGAACGTGTATATTATGGACAAAGCACAAACACCCAAAAACTGATATGTGTTCATTAATCACACACATTGTATATATACAAACATACAAAGCAGGCTATTACAAATGGGTCTAATAAGCTATTCTACATTAATAATACAAATATCCGCTAACAATTTTCTTGGGTTATCTCATTTCTTATATATGTTGCATCTGGTCTCAGTAATTAGGTATTCGAATATACTAGAGAGAGATTCGAGAGACTTCTGATTTTATGAAGAATTCATAGTATACACGAAGAGATATCACTTCATTTATGCATATCCTTGTGTGATGTTATGAGTTCAAAACCAAAACCACAATGTTCAAAACAAAATATTTTTGATGCATCAAATTAGTGTTTTCCCAAATTTTTGAAGTATCCAAATCATTGCCCAACCAAAACCACAATGTTCGGTTTATTGGCATTTATAAAGTTTTTTTTGAGATTTTATGTATATATGCCGCTGATAAAAATTAATGTGACCACATAGGTTAAATTTAATTTTTTGTTTAATTTTTTTGGTAATGTGTATTTTATTGCACATAATTAATTTTTTATACAATAAAATGTTGCATTACCCATGAATAAATATTTTACATTCAATAAATCTTTGAAATAAAATTTAATATTTTTTTTCATTTCATATAGTCTATTTTTTAAAAAAATCCCTGACCAATGTTGCCTACACCTATCTAAATTCTTGGATCCACCACTGAGACTATTTCACTCTAAAAAGTAAAACTAGACGAATATATCGAGATGAAAGGGGCACTTTTTAATTTTTTTTAAATTCCATGACATTAAACTACGAATTTTATTCGAGGAAATAGGAAAGTATTAAATTACGCAATTATACACACCACTATGGGTAGATGTGGTTATCTATCCAAATTTCAGAAATAATAAACCTGGGGGTACACCAAAATGAGGTACTTCGTTTGTACTCCAGGTAAATACAGACACTAAGTTAAGTATCTGTGTTTGTCAATGTTTGCCTGGTGTACAAATGGAGTACCCAATTTTGGTGTACCTCTAACATGCTTTTTTTACTAAAATGTGTGTTTTGAAAATATTTTGTGATGATTGCTAAAAAAGGCTAGGCTTCGGCATAGTAGTACGTAGTAGCTAGCTAGTATTGATTCAGATAAGATTTTCATTAAACCTAATTTGGCTTACACGGCTCTATTTTCAACTTTGTATTGCATGGATTGGATTGAATGTTGCTTTCCTAAGGTTTTTTGGTAGGTAGGGAGAGTATATATGGACGCACATCAAATAAATATGCAAAGAAAACCCAAGCTACACCTATATTCCTATATACGGTATACCAATGCAATTACATGAGTTGACAACAATTTCAAAAATACACATTACCCAAATAAATATCAAAAGAAAACATTAATTATTGATGTCCAAAATATGCCGTAGTGGTGAGTTTTGCATTATTTGACCGTAGCATGTCATTAGAATGATTATTTGATCAAT